CAATTTTATTATAAACAATTGTCTTATAAATGAAATTTTTAAAGCATTCTGAATGTAAAAATAAAGAAAAAAGTGTGCAAGACAATAACAAACACTACCAGTCAAAAAAAAGTGAAGTTTTGTTGAAATCGGTTGAAAAATGTAGCAAATCCGATCCCATATATTAACGAACACACACACACACACAAACAAACAAACAACGAACCTGGGTTTTATAATAAGTATAACTCGATAACTCGATATTAATAAGTATAACTCGATATGAGTTGTCCCTCTTTCATTAATGCCACTTAATGGTATTTTCAAATTAATTTCGTGCAAAAACAATTGTGTTTTTCCAATTTTTGGTGCTGTCAGAACCACCGCAAGGTAATTTTACGTAGTCCTGTGAAGTTTTGTTGAAATCGGTTGAAAAATGTAGGAAATCCGATCCAATATATAAACGAACAGTCACACACACAACCTGGGTTTTATAATAAGTATGATTATTAAAATAGCAAGAACTATTCTATCCCATAATGATATTTACCGACAAAGTTGCCATATAGGAAGAAAATAAGTAACTACCGACACCGATGTTCGAGCTTGACACTCTATACTTATAAATATATATTTTCCACCAGGTGTATAAATAGCGGTGTCAGACTACTGACTGCTGTGATTATTGAGTGATTATTAAGTGGAACTATCCAGTCGAATTAGTGTGAATTATTAGGCGTCGATGATTCGGGTTTTGATTTAGGATTTACCAGACGTTAAACCGAGCTGTGCTACTAACAAGGTATTCACTGAAATGATTAATTATCTTTGGTTGATTTCTTTGTTCTTGTTAAGTATTTATTTGCGGTTATAATTAGATACTGTTTTATATTAACATTGAAGTCTTCAGTTATACTTAATTATTAACGGCCACCGTACGTCACAAAAAAGTAAAACATAACACAGCTGATACCAAGGTAAACAAACCTGTTCCCACACATACACACACACCCAAACAAATTACCAAATCGGGTAGGCGTGTCACCTGGCCTGTCTACTTTAAAACATATATCTATTATTAAAGACATTGCCAAACAATTAGATATAATATTTATCGATCAGGAGAGAAAAAGAAGAACTGAAATCTGGTATCTGTTGTGTTGTTTCATCTTTATTGGTTTATCATGTCTCACGTGCATTCGTCTTGTTAAATAACGTTTGTTATAGAGAAAAAGTACCCTCATAATATCTCCAACAAGAACTTGTACAGCAGATGTCAAGAATTTCATTTGTCTTTGTTCATGTTGAAAGCAAGATGGAAACTTCTTGGACATATTTTGCGAATGGATCCAGAATGCCCAGCTAACGAAGCCATGGAGTTTTACTTTGAAAAGACTGACCTTAAAAAGTCCAGAGGTCATCCAACGCTAAACCGAGACATTCAAAGAACAAGGCAGAAAGATCCCATTTTTCCTTTGGAGAAGTTTACAATAAAGGAGGATTTTCAACAAATCCGCAAATTAGCAGAGGGCAGAGGAGGATGGCAAAATATTGTCGAATCAGGTATATAATATCACTGAAGATGAGAGAACATGTTAATTCATGACCTCAAATCGAAACAGTTTTCATGATGATAATGATGATGATGATGATAATTTGTGTCGTTCCGAATTCATGGAAAGACGACTCGTCCCTTGGAAGAAATTAACGAATTACAAGCTTAACTAAAAAATCATAAATATTATTTTATACATGTAAGTGTATAATAATTCTAGTGTGTCCATATGGGATTCAGATGATGATCTATATTCGTGTGTGCGTGTATTTCTATTAGACATGTTTGATAGCTTTTCGTATGTTGGTTTACGAACGTTTTTAGATACATACCATTTATTTTAGATAAATATACATTAGATTCTTTAAGAATGGATTTAATAAAGGTTGGTGATGAAATATAACGTTTTTGCCTTGTGTTTGTAGTTGGAAATATTGTTATTAGTAATTCTTCGAAACATTTTCTTTGTAGAGAATTATGTTCCTTTTTAATTAGAGTGGCATTTGTAAAATCAAAGTTATGGCCAGTTTTGTTCCTGTATATTAGGAGTGAGTTTTAATATTTGAGGGTGGTTCGGTACGATGTGCGTAACATGGCGGGTCCCAGACGTGAAGGTTAGAATAGTTGGAACTAAGGAATGTAATTCGTCCCAGCACATTACATGGAAGTAGCAATAGAACAGTAAGAGGCTTGCTGCGTCTCTTCAGTGTGTGTGTGTGTGTGTGTGAGAGAGAGAGAGAGAGAGAGAGAGAGAGGTCGGATAGGGGAAAATAATTTGTTACCCATAAGGACATGGAGACGCTCTTTAGAGACTGGAAAGTGACGACTAGGCAGCTATTACCCAAATATGGCAGCAGCACTCCATTTTATTAAGAATGTCTATTATCATTATTAATTATTATATTAAGAAGATTTTTTGATAAATTATATATTGGTATAAATAATTCTACTCTATTTATAAAAACGTAACATGTCTTTTATTTATGAGAGCGTAAAAAATTATGTTCCTTTTTAATGAGGGTGGCATTTGTAAAATCAAAGTTATGGCCAGTTTTGTTCCTATGTATTAAGAGTGAGTTTTAATGTTTGTCTAAACGTAAATCTATATTCGCAGATACAGAATTAGATTTCGTGATGTCTCTCCGATATAACATTGTAAAAAAAATTATTTGATAAGTACCGACATCTGAATTGGTGTTGGATTTATTTTCCTTCCTAATTATATCTCTGATTGTCTTGGACATGGTGGTAAGATCCTAGTATTAAGGATAACTTGTTTACGAGTTTTGTCGAACGATTTGTGGATTTTGTAAGCGCCAAAAAACTACACACTACTAATGGCATTTCTAACAACACAAAAGTCATAATCCTATCCTCTAACACTCTTTCTACAACTGAGAGATGATAAATGAGGTACGATAAACAAAATCTCACAAGTCCGATTCGCGTATCATATTATACCTCTCCCCTTACTACTTGGGCACTTATATAGACTTTATAGCTTTGCTATGCTAATTAGACAGTCATTTATATATTGCTACAACTAGAAAGCAAGAAACCGGGAGAGAGTTCCACAAATAAGAAGTGCAAGAGGAGAAACTGTTAGCATAGAAGTTACGGTTAGATCTAGCAATTTCAGCTGTAAAATGAGACCTAGCTGCCAATCTAGTACTGTGTTTAAATTTGTAAAGTCGATGTACTAAAGAGGAAAGCCTTTTTTTCTTTTTTTTTTTTCTTTTTTTTTTTTTACCCTGTCTTTTGAACAGGTGTAGAGGCTTAACCTTTGTTTCCTGTTTATAAATGAGTTTCCGGTTCTTTCTAAAGCCTTTTCTTTCTCTTTCACTTGCGGTGACCTCTTGCGACTTGTTGGCATTATCTTCTTGCTTGGGTTGGTGCCTCTTATTCTGTATCCCTCTACTTCGAGTGGCTCTTGGGCCTTGTACTGGTTGAACATCATTGCAAAAAAAAAGGTTTGAATCGGTATAAAAACTGAATCAACAACGATAAATATGTTTACTGTTATTGTTTATAAATCTGTTACAATTGGCACTTCCACGTGGTGCAATGGTGAGCAAGTTAGACCAATTACGTCTTGAGTAATGAGTTCGATCCTCATTACGTGCTCAATACTTTCGGCCTTGTGCTAAATCAAAATTACGCTTAATAATTCTACCATTCGTCCACGCTCGGAAAATATTGTTTCCGTTTATGCTCCGGTGTCCCTGTTGTTTACCTGGAGCTCCCTGATAAGATCCAAAGAGGAATCAGCAATATTATTGGTCCTGATCTGGCGGCTCGGCTTCACATTCCCCACCGTCGTAAGGTTGCTTGATTTGTGCCTTTTTTTATGAATACTTTCATTGTAATTATTCGGATGTGCTCTTCGCTATGGTGCCTAGACTGTATGAATTTAAGCGCAATACTAGACTGGCGGCGAGATCTCATCAATTTACAGTTGAGCTGGCATAGATCTAGCCGTAATTTCTATGCCAACAGTCTCTTATCTCGTACTTTCTCGCTTGTGGAACTCCCTCCCGGCCCTATGCTTTCCAACCAACTTTAATCTGCAAAAATTTAAATGCAATGTCAATCGCTATCTACTCTCCTCCTGATTGTTCTTTTCTCTTTCTCTTCATTACTAATGTTTCTATTCCTAATCTCTCCACACGCTGTAACCCTTTGCATGCCAGTGGCTGTACTGCCTTGCTTGGAGTGATACCGATTTTTAAAAAAAAGTTGTAAATCTATTAAAATTAGTACTCTGGGGTGCCAAAGGTGGGTCCATAATAAATGGTGTGATGAAAAAACAAAAATTTTAATAAACAGGGGTCATTTATTAAATTGAGGCGTAAGGAAAAATGAGAAAATCTAATAAACGGAGTAGGGTTTCATTAAACGGGGTTGATGGGAAAAACTAATCTTTCAAAGTATAACAAGTCATCGAAGAAATAAAAGTAAAAATAAATATATATGAATCAGTTTTAAGTAAAATGCCTTTAGAAACATAAGAAAAAGTACCATATTGAGTATTGTCGGCGAGGTCCATATAAGCTCCGGTGTAATGGAAATTTTTTAATTAAAAAACGGATGGGGACGTTTCTTTGGCACCCGAGAGCATCAGTAATCTCTAATTCTAATTGTTTTTCTTTTTTTTTCGGCTTATCAACTTTGCAGGTTATTTAAAGCCAGAAAATATTTTAGATTGTAAGAATTTGTTTTAGATAATAATGCTACAGTGTTACAGGTCTTATAATTACCTTATTGCTGGGGGAGAAGAGGTGGGTTAATGCCTAAGTATTTTCGCGTAAGTAAATAAAACGAACACAACAAGAACTGGAACTCGGATCTCCGATTAACAATTCCGAGCCATTATCCATTACACCACCCGCGCATCCAAGAAATTTCCCTAGTCTCGCCGAATTATTATTATTATTATTAATATTATTATTTTGATTTTCTGTTGCAGACATAAAAAAGAAGCAGTTAAGTACGCAAGAAATGGCGCTGGAATCTCTGCAAAAATGGAAGGACCATAACAGAGATTGTTCAGTATCGGCTTTGGTTAATCTCTTAGAGAGACTGGACAAGATCGATATTATCATGCAATTAAAGAGACACTCTCTAATCAATAACTGATTATATGAACAACTTTACAAAACGGAAGGAAGGACAAGAAATTCATTTCAAAAATGAATTATACATAAAAATATTATATATATATATACAATATTGAAGTGCACAATTAAAAATCACACTAAATGTAATACATGTATACATACATATATATATATATATATATATATATATATATATATATATATATATATATATAGTTAGGAGAAAGGGTCCACGTATGCTTCTTATAATATGTAAAATGTTAATAAAACAAGGATAAATGAAATGTACCAATGTAATCAGTATGAAAAACACTTATTAAATATTAACATGATAGAAATGAAGCACGGAAAGAAAGGTTTTAATCCCGAATTTAATAATAATAATAATAATAATAATAATAGACCGGGCTAATGCTTTTACACCGATCAAAATTTTAAATTTAAGTTTATTTTAATTAAAAGTTTCGCACGGTGAGGAATCGGAGAGGGATCGGGGTTTTGCTAATAATATGATTTCCACCAGAAAATATACCGTCCACAAAAACATATGTCGGTGAGTAATTCCCATTTCTCCGTTGATGAAAGACACAGGCGTGTCCGAAAATTCCGGACTTAAAACCTTTCTATCCGGGCTTCATTTCTGTCATATGGTCAATAATTAATATTTAATAAATGTTTTTCGTACTCACTTTATTGGTACCCTTTTCGTTTGTCCTTAAAAACCTATCTACTTTATATTTATATATATATATATATATATATATATATATATATATATATATATATATATATATATATATATATATCAAAATACTTTTTAAACTTAAGTTCCGGTTTCCTCATACCAAAACAAGGATAAAAATTCATATAAACATATGTCCGCAAATCCTTCGTTTTTAAGTTTAAAGAAAGTTTACGGTAGATGGCGCTGTGTTGTCATGTAGAATACGTTACATTCATCATTCGTGTACATTTGTGGTTAGTCTGTCTTCAACGTTTAACGTATGCAGTAGTGAGATAACTGAGAAGTGTTCCGTTTAACAATGGCAATGGACGCGAGGCTGCAAGGGTGTATCAGATTGCGTTTCCAGACCAAAGGCAGCCGAGTCATCCAACCTTTGCTGCCGTTTATCGCCGCGTTGCTGAGACAGGATCCATGGCACCACAAACTATGGATCGAGGAAGACAGATCCGCTCATACGCCAGACCACGAAGAAGACATTCTACATGCTGCCGGAGACGCTCCAGGTATGAGAACACGCCAGCGGATTTTATAGTCCCACATTGAGCGTACCAAAATTGTATCTCGGATTGTACTACGTCTACCATAAACTTTAAAATTAATAACACAAAAACTAATAATGTGTAGACATATGTTTATATGGACTTTTATCATTGTTTTGGGGTGCAGAACCCGCCCCCCCAAGTTTGTAAAAATATTTTTGATACACAATATATATATATATATATATATATATATATATATATATATATATATATATGTTTGTTTTGCTCATATATATATACATGGATGGACTTTATCAAAACAAGTTTGAGGATTTTATTTGGCAACAAGTATTAATAAACAAAAGTAAAAAAAAAACGTTAATTTTTAAGAATTTTTATAAATAAACATCACGGTAACTAAAAGTCAAAGCAAACTATGGAAGATGCTAAGTGATGAAATTTAATGTCGAATAAACGAAAGTGAACAAATGTTGTTGTTGAAATTTTTATTTTATTTTTTTATAATATAATTATTATTTATTTTATTTTAGTTGAGAAATTAATTTATGCATTTATATATTTTAAATAATCGGTTTTGAATTTAACCGTTTCCTTTATATATTTTTAATTTTTAATTATGTATGTTAGTTTAGGAAAGAAGTATATCTTTTAGGAAAGGAGATATTTGAAAAATCCGGGGCTTCAGATTTATATTTTGGTAAGATTTGATAACGGCACTCTCAAGAATTTTCCACTGAAGTAAGTTACTTCCTCTTTTAACCTAACGATATCAGTTGTCAGCTGATTTCTTGTCAAGGGAGCATCTGCAGGATGTTACAGAAATTGTTTTGACAATTATCGTCAAAACAATTATAGGTCAGCTGAAGGGAGCGGACCTTTCGAAAACAAGGTCAGCTGAGCCTGATAAAGAATGTCAGCTGAGTGGTGCCGACTAAGAACCATGTCAGCAGACCCTATGTTCTTGGTGATTTACTTTTTTAGAATAAACCTCATAGGACCAAAACCGCTTGTCCTCTATAAGACAGAGGCCTCTAGCAGCTTAAAACAGAGGACTACCTGCTCGCCACTGAAAAGAAGACCGTTCGCCACCTCATCTCTCTTCAATTATTCTCACTCGCTTAAAATCGGCACTTACGAGAAGGTTGCAACTGAATAAAATTTGTTGACTGCTAGAACTTCAACTCGAGTTTTTTGGGTTTTTTTTTTTCTTGCGTAACGACCCGGCCAAAGAATTAGTTTCCTTGTATTCGACCAGAAACGTTCGACTGGAAGAAGATGCACCCTGAAAACGAATCTAATGTTTGGTCTGAGCTGCAACGTTGCGTAGCATTCTTTAGATTGCAGTTGTGGCCGTGTTAAGAGAATCTATTTAAAAACGAAACTTCTCCGAGTTCTGAGTCATTTAGATCAAATACTTTAAAGAAATCTTTGATGTACTTGGATGGTCTTTCGCTAGTTGGCGCCAGAATTAAGCAAGTTGACTGGCGAAGTCAGTTGTTGTAGAAATCTCTCAGCGCGGATCGTTCACTACTGTTCACTGATTGGACATGTATGCTAAAAGAAACCAGCAACTTCCGACTGAAGTTATTTTGTTGAAGTATTTTTAAATTCTTGCCGGTAAGATTTTTTTCCTTTTTAGCCCACTGATCAAATCATTAAAATTAAAATAAAACCTTTTTTGTTTACTATAAAACTTATTTGGTCTTCAGTATCTATCTATATTTCTGAGATGATCGAAATAAAGTGTTCAGTTCGACATTCCAATCACCTGAAGAAGGCCGGAGCGTACAACTGCTGAAACGTTGTAATAAATATAGCGACAAAGATGAGGACAATAGTCCGAATAATGTAAATAGTGTTATTTGCTCTTCTGTCATTCGCTTTATTTCCCTTTATCTTATTTCTTTTGTCGTACACGTGACACTGTGTATGACTAATGCGTTTGATAAATTCTTATGTATTAGATCCTTTTTGTGTTCATAGATTCGTTTTTATAAAATTCTGCAGTTTTCCCCAAGATATTGTAGGGAGAAGTTGACATATATATCCAAGATTGGTTAAAGATCGACGAATATTATTTATTATGGATATTTTTAATTATATTTTCTGTATTGGAGAAAGGAAATATAAACTTAGAAGAGTGAAAAAATGTTGAGAAAGCAAGACCATTATCAGGCGTAAATTATTAACAATAGATAGTGTGAACAGTTATAGATTAAGCGAGATAGTAAGAAAGGCAATAAATCCAATATTAGAATTTAAATCAACAAGTTCAATCCACAAATTTATTTTTTTTAAATCATACACTTGTATGCAAAGATTTCTTCCTACCTAACAAAATGGACTGGACCACTTCATGGTCTCATCCGCCATATTTTTATTCTTTCTTGTCCGGAAGTCAGCACTCTCACCTGCATCCTATTTGCGTGTTGACGTCATTCTTTTTACTTTTTAGGGCCTACTAATAACAATAGTACCCACACAGACAAACTAAATCTCACATAGACAAACTAAAATTATTATACACTTAAACACAGGGTGCCCCACAAAAAAAATAAAACAGGAAATTTGGTACAATTTATTTAATTGTTGGAGTTATTGTTACAATTATTTGAAACAAAGGCAAAGAATAGAAGTTTAGTTGCTTAAAACAGAACAAACCAAATGTTAGATGTAATGTTCAAACTAAATAACTCTAGCAAAATTTTTTTGGCATTTTTTCAGTGCCGAAGCTGGATGTTATTTTTCTGAAAGAGAACAATCACCACGCGTTGAAAACTGCGGCATCATGAACAACAAATAGTTAAAAAAAATGTATATTTTAATAATTCACACAGTTAAATATATAGTTAATTTTTTTTATACATTAGTTAATTTTTTCATCATATAGTAAATCTAAAATTTCCTGGCGGGAGGGGGGGCATCCTGTAGTGTACATAGAGTAATATTTACGGTTTTTCAGAAACTTCGGATAGACGGGTCGTCTCCCCTTGAATTCGGAACACATCAAATTATATTAGCGTTGGTTTTAAAAAGTCGAATGCACGTAAAACAAGATTGACCAATGAAAATGAGACAACACAAAAGTAAAAATACCAGAATTTCTTTCTTCTTTTTCTTCATATCTCATTCCATTAAGAAAACAAGAGATAACCACTGACATTGCATTTAAATTTTTGAAAATCAAAGTTGACTGGGAAAGCAAGAAGCCGGTAGAGACACAAGGGGTTACTGAGTGTAAAAGAATAAAAGAAAATAAAATACTATTCAGAAGAGAAGACAATAAAAGAACAGGAATTAAGAAAACAGAAGGTGACGATTGACATTGCATTTAAATTTTTGAAAATCAAAGCTGACTGCAAAAAGCTACAAGAGAATTCCATAAAGTAGAAGTGCAAGAAAAAACAGAATAGAACTTGTGGCTACATCGAGCGAATTCAACTGTAAAATGATGAGACCTAGCTGCCAATCGAGTACTGCACTTGAACTCACAAAGTCTACGCAGCACAGAGGGAAGCCCACCAGAACAATTACGATGAAAATATTTATAGAAAAGGCACAGAGAAGCAACGTCTCTGCGTTGGAAAAGTTACTGAATCCGAGATGCCAGGTCAAGACTAATAACATTGCAGATGATTATTCTTTGTATTTTATCAAGAATCTCTAAATCGAAGGATAAAAAGT